ACAAAGTATTCATTGACCGTAATATCTCAGCCTTAAGCCTAGGTTTAGACTTTAGTACAAATAGTTTCATTCTTGTCATTTTGCTGGGGCCCGCATTTCCATTCGTGCTCCTTGGAGTTATATAATTTGCATTTTGTATTATTTTTACAAGTTACGTTTTTAGGTATGGTCATTTTGATTACTAAATCATCTGGTACAAGACTGCTGATGACATTGTCTGCTGCTTTGATAGAATCTGCCTTTACTGCGCTCAACGTCACCAGGGTAAGAATGATTAATCGCGATGCAATCATTGCCAAAAATAATAGAATTATTTGTTTGTTGTGGCTAGATGCAAATACGTGCATTGGTTTAAATTGTATTAATTTAAATTTAGTATAAATATGAATTTACCTACAATGTTGTTTAAAGTATAGTTTGTGTTTATTTAATTTATCAAATATGGTGTTGAGAGAGAGAGAGATTCGAATAAAATATACACGTAAACTGTAAATATAATGTTGTTTTTTATATTTCATTGCAATGTGTGATAATGTTTTATCCATAAATACTTATTTTGCATTGATTTGTGATTATTAATTGTAATTAATGATATTTACCTGAAATTATCAACACGGAACCTTTTATATTTCAATGTAATTATAATCTGTTGTTTTATTATTAATTATTAAAATTCCACTAATAAAGTAAATTATATGTATTTACCTAGGTAACTAGAATTTTAATTAACTATATCCGTATAATAATAAACTATATAAATAAACATAACTGTTATTGTTCTTAACCACATGGTTAATATAGCATTTGTACCTCACAAAATAAAGTAAATTATTCTAATTTATAAAATACTAATCAATAATGAAATATTTATTACAGACAACAGTTTTATTTATAACTTTAGGTATGTATTGAATTTAATTAAAAATTTAGCTTATCAATTAATTTTGAACAAAAATAAATACAATTTAATTAATATATAATCTCAATTAAAATTACTATTTACAGCTAGTTCACTTGTTACCTGTCAACTCACCAAGGACGAATTAATCAAGAAAGGGGACGAACTCAGCACAAAACTAAACACCATAATCGCTATACTGAAACGCAACGACCCTGCTAAAAACAAACAAGCTATTGACCGGTGGGGCGTACACCTGAGCAACCTGGACCAGGCGCTATACTTATATAAACAACCTGGCTTACCACCCAAAACCGAACAACAATTCATGGACCAAGTAAAAAGTGTGATTGGTCAAATTGAGTACGAATTGTCCATGTACCCTATGCCCACTGATAAGCCCACTGTTGCACCCACCGACCAACCTGGCCCACATACTGATCCACCAACTGACCCACCGACTGATAAGCCTACTGATCCCCCTACTGATGCGCCAACTGGTCACCCTACTGACCAGCCCACCGTAGCCCCGATTCCAACCATTAAACCCCCTGAAACTTGCGTAGATATTAAAGCAAAGTTACAGCTTGTAGTAAATGAGCTATGTAGTAATGAATAATTTTAATTGTAATTTTATTTGATATCTATCTATAGTTTAGTATAATTTGTTTATGATCTTGTTTTTTTGTAAAACTTTCATATAGCTTATTTAACTTATTGTTGTAAAACAGTAAAATATAATTAAAATTTTTCACAATTTAAAAGTTTTTCATAATCCGACTAATTTACTTACTTATGTAATTTATATTACACTACTTAATTGTTATATATTATTTGACATTGACAATGAAAAACACTGTTACCTGGGTACTTAATATTATCAATCAACAAAACATATTAACAAAAAAATTATGTTGCCACTACATTGATAATAATAGATATTTCTTTGTGAATCAACATCCTGGTAACTTTTTATTATACTTGTTTTTAAAAATAAATTTTTTTAATAATAAGTTTAATTGTTTAATTATTATTAGGTAAAACATTTTAAATAATAATAATAATTATGATTTAATAATTTCCCGATAATATCAATTAATAAGTCATAATTATACAAATAGTACTATTTTAGTGTAACCTTACAGTTAATATTTGTTAAATATAATAATTTTCATAAATCATGCAACATAATTACCAATTTATATTTACTACTAAATAATTAACCATAAATGTGCTAGATCATAACAATTAAATTTATTGATTTTAATTTAACAAGGAAAAAATCATTACAATTAAGCATTGTAAACATAAATGTACAATCTACAATTTACAATGATTCTCTTTGCAGTGTTTATGCAGCAAGTTTTTCTTGCAATCGGCATCAGACAGGCATATCTTGTGATCGCTAGGAACGCACCGTTGGTTATCGCACTTGAAATATATACCGTAGGCGTAACAGTTGACATCTTGGTAACACTCGGCCACGGGACCAGGCATGTCCAATTTACACTGGCCATTTACGCACTGATGTACCACACCCTGTACGGTACACTCTTGGTCAAATGTACACCGTATGGCCAGCGCTGTGCCAATTAGAGTGGCCAGTAATATAACAGCTGCTATTTTACTCATGGTAATTACTCACTTTATTCAATCAATGCTAGTTATTTATAATAAATATTAATATGGCTTAATAGTATAAGTTGGGTTAGTAACTATTGGGTATTTTTTATTAATGCTCAATTAGTTTTATATAGTATTTATTATTATCAGTTATAAGTTTTGTGATCGAAATTTAATTACAATAACATTTATTTATCTGCCCTGCGCACAATAATACAAAAATTGCAACACAAAGAACTAGCAACGTATTTTTCCGCTAATGAACCAAGAGTTAATAAATTGTTTATTATAAACATAATCCGTGAAAACAATTATAACAGAATTGCCCACACCAATCATTAAAATGACTAAAATAAGTTATTAAAAATCAAAAATATATAGTATATTAAGTAATTAATATGTGGATTGCATTGGTTTATAGCAAATCTATTGAGCTTAAAAATAAATAATTGTTTAAATAACTTTAAGCGATAAATAGGTCATGTAAACACCATATAAGAATGTAAACAATTCTTATAAATACTTTTATTTATATTAATAATAAAAAATAAACAAATTACAAAGTATTCATTGACCGTAATATCTCAGCCCTGAGCCTAGGATTAAACTTTAGTACAAATAGTTGCATTTTTGTCATTTCGCTGGGGCCCGCATTTCCAGTTGCTCTCGGTCGAGTTATATGATTGGCATTTTGTATCATTTTTACACGTTACGTTATTAGGTATAGTCATTTTGATTACTAAATCATCTGGTACAAGACTGCCGATGACATTGTCTGCTGCTTTGATAGAATCTGCCTTTACTGTTATCAACGTTACCAGGGTAAGAATGATTAATCGTGATGAAATCATTTCCAAAAATAATAGCTAGGTTTGGTTGTTGTGGCTAGATTTAATACGTGCATTAGTTTAAATTGCATTAATTTAAATTCTGTATAAATGTAAATTTACTTACAATTTTGTTTGATTTATAGTTTGTGTTCATTTAATTTGTGTATCAAATATGGTGTTTAACGAGAGAGAGAGAGAGAGAGAGTTATGAATTAATTTTCAAAAACTCTACATTTTACAAATACAAATAAAGTTAATAACATTTTTTGATGATATTGAATAATTGAAAAAACACTTTTTTCTGTGTATAATCAAGGTATGAACTTAATGTTAAGAAACACAATTCAGCTATAAAGAACTTGGTTTATAGAATCGTGCGGGCCTTCCCCCTCCCAGGCCCCTTGCTACACATATAAAAGTTAATTTACAAATTGAGCATTCAATTATTTATTAGATTTTTGATTAATCAAAAATATCATACATGTTATTAATAAATGCCATTCATATGTAGGGCACCTGCGTTCCGGCTACTTTCCGGCTATTTTAGGAATATTATAGTGTAAAGGGATATTTATTCATATGTCTGTTCGGGTTGAAGTGTTGCATTTGTCATGAAAATACATAAATGACACATACTGCAATATACATAAAAATCATGACTGGTTGGCTTATTCATATGGCTTATGCAATATCAGTAATATGTTAGCATTTTTCAGTGCAACAATCTAGGGTACATTTAATTACATTCGCATTTTTATTATATCAATTATGATATAATGATTATGATTTAATAATGACCTAATATACATGTTATATGTATGTATATTTTACAGGTATCTAAAAGTACTTAAATGTTCTAAATAAACATTATCCATATAGATGGATTTTATCATGCAATAAGTTCTCTTGAAATAGCAATAAATGATGAAATTATTTTGTAATTATTAATTAACAATAGTTGCATATAAAATGAGTTGTATTACCTATTTTATTTTTAATGTGGCATTTTAATTTATAGAAATTTTGAAACCATCAATGTTTTTTGCAAAATATAAAAATAATATTTGAATTTATAAATAGTAAACTAATAATAATATAATTAAAACAATTAGCGTACAATTTTACATACAATCTATAAATTTACTAAATATATAAAAATATTAAAATACGTTTCAATAAAATTTTAACAGCACTATGATGAACGGTGAAAATAATAATGCACAAAAATCCGATCAATTAAAAATATATTATGCTAGTCAAACTATGGAAGATTGCATTAGAGATATAATCAATAAATCTAACCATGATTACTATTTTTATGTAGTAGATGTCGAACAAATTATACACAAATACCCTCAATGGATGGCCACATTCACACATATTCAACCATATTACTCGGTACAGTGCAACCCCAGTGCGATCGTGTTGGAAATTCTAGCTAGTCTAGGTTGTGGTCTTTATAGTGCATGCTCGGCCGACATTGGCCGTGTGCTTGAGCTACGCCTGATTAATCATGATCGCATAATATACATCAACACTTGTAAATCTGAGTGCCAGGTCAATCAAACTCGAGCTCTAGGTAAACATTATATAATGTTTGATAGTTTAGATGAACTACAAAGAGTACAGCGCCTTAACCCACGGGGGTGTATGGTGTTAAAGATTATGGTCAAGGGGGAATGTGTCAAGGTGCCTTCGGGTGGTTTCCCAGTGTTATTTAAAATGGCCATTGAGTTATGCGTTACAATTGTTGGATGCAGTTTGTATTTTATCAATAAAGGCTGCGATAGTGTTCATATTTACCATGATGCTATTGCCGTTGCTAGAGTAGTGTTTGATTGTGGTCACCAACATGGCTTTGCGATGAATTATCTAGAAATAGGTTTGTAACTTATAGAGTATAAATTATTAAAAATTGGATGATTAAAAATATTTTATTAACTAAATTTATAATTTCCTATTAAAATTTTTGACACACTCATAAAAATATAATAAATCTTTACAGGGAATGGTTTCCCCGATATACTAAACTCTGGACCCGCTTACCGCGAGTTGGCATCATCTACAAAAGCAGCACTTGACACTTATTTCCCCGCTAATGAACCACGTTTTAATAAAGGCAACCTAACAATAATAGCTGAATTGGGCCCATATTTTGTAATTAAACTTAATCAAATAATAAAAATTTAAGCTAAACTAAATATTCCTTATAGGTGGCATCGGCTCTTACTATGGCAACAAAAATAATTGACAAACAACAAGCCTGTGCAAAAATTGACCTTCAACATAACCAGCATAATCTAGAAGTACAATACTATTTAAACTGCGGCCAAATCAACAATATGTTACCAAATCCGCAGCCATTGTACGCCAATTGCCAACAGAGCAAACCCGTATACCCAAGCGCTTTGTTTGGGTCAACGGGATATTGCCTAAACCAGCGAGTAATGTTGCCTGATATGGAAGTGGGCGAGTGGCTGTACTTTAATAATATGGGTCATTATATTAAAAAGACAACAGTACTTAAAATTGAAAATAGGCTGACCACATGGTCACTTTCACACTTGCAGTTTATGCGTAATTGGAATAGAATTTTGGCAATACTTAAAAAAAAGTCTGACCTAACGTTATAGTGTGCTGTAGTTTACATGGTGATATTTTATGATTTAAACATTATGTATTATGATTTATATTTTTAGGCGTCAACATAAAAGACATTAATTATGTCACATTATTAAGTAAATGCGTCACAATTTAATTATTATGTTTATTATAGAAAATTAGTTTATATTGACACGACATGTGTCCTAAACTTTCTATTAGATGTAATTCTTTAATTTTCCCTAAGTTTTTGAATTGTATGTTTTATCTCAAACCAATCATAGCATTGGGTTTCCAACGGATTCCCCAACCTTTAGCCCATTTCGCTCTACACTCACTGTATCTCAGGTGTACTTAAGAGCCACACATTCCATGTGTTCCCTCAGTCTCTCTTTGTTAGGAAAGTATCCGCTTTCATACCAGAACTCATCGCACGTCGCACACCACGGGTTCCGACCGCCGCTTATGTGATCACTCTCTGGACAGTAACCCACGTCTGTCAGAGAGCATCCACTCCTTCATCCCTCTCCACGACAGCACTGCCTCTCTAACGGCGCCATCGACCAGACAGTGCACCGTATAAGAGTCGGCACAACTCATTATTCTTATCGGCCATCTTGTATCTCAAGACCACGCCATAAGAATATCAATATTATATAATATAATTAATATTCTTGTAATTGAATCGCCCTTAATGTCAATATAATGGGCGTAACACTAATATTATATATTAAATTGTGTTTTGAAAACATTACTAAATAATAACGTATTGTAATAAGTAAATTAAATGTAGAATACTTTATAAACATATCAAACATTTTCTATAATTATTAATATTGATGTCACTTAATATATTTTTAATAATATTATTTGCTTTATAAATCTAAATTATTAGTTTTATTTTTACAGACACTACTATTGTGTGCATTATTACACCAAACATATAAAACTTGCCCTTTATATACAAATTCACACAAATTTACACCAATATAGTTTGAATCGCATAATAAATTCAAATGAGCTACCCTCACAACATGCAGTTATGCAGATGGCAATACAATTTGTTTGTTACCATAATTTTATGATGGCAAAATATTTATGGGCAACCAAACTACCATGCACCATTTGCAGCTCTACACCATTTGGCCGTCTATTCTGTATATTCTCACATTTTTGTGAAATAATCATTTTTATAATCACCCTGTTGTGTTGCACTTTTGGTTATACTCTCGTATTGTGCATTCCCTCACCCAATCATTATGGTTTGAGAAGCATTTATTGTTGTTATAAATTTTGTATAACATCGTGGTCTTTTGGTAATTAATATAATATACGCTACTATTACGTACATTGATATTAATGTAACTTGTTTCTCAAACCTAATTAATCTTAACCGATCGATAATTGTATTCTAACTCTAAGCCGTCGGTTAGCACTTATTTATTAAATATAAATTGGATGGTTATACAATTTGTTGGACTATAGCTTCTACAATATTTCCTACGTTCATTGAAATTATATTCGCTAATAATTTCCTGTTTTATTGAAAAGTATCTAGGTTTGCGAAAATTTGATGGCAGATAGGATAAGATTTGAACTAATTTTTGAAATATATATTATTGTTTTTTCAATGTACTTTGTAAAAATTCTTGTATAATAAAAAACATTTCTGTATGTTTGGCAACGCTATACGTTGTTTATTTTACAAAAATTGGTTTATATTTT